TTGGTAGTTTATAATAGTTTCTTATGATCTTTTTAAACACTGTAAGTTACATACCTATAACTTTTTAGTGGTTATAGGGAACATTGATATATGCTTTTTATTTCTGCAATCAATAGTTTTTGCTTTCTGTCTTTAAGACTATCTTGCTAAGAATTTCTTAATTTTATTAGTCTTTAAATATTTTTTATTTCAATTATATTTTCTATATATGCTTGTTTTTGTTAATATCTGTTCTGTCAATCATCTATTTTTATTGAGTATTGTTTCTTTTGCTTTTTGGGCATATTTTCCTGTCTCTTGTTCTACTTAATTTTGCTTAATAATGTATGAAACAATCCTGAGAAAAAAGAAAAGGCTAGGGGGGATTACATGCCTTGACTTCAACCTCTACTATAAAACAATAGTAATCAAAACAAGTAATCTGTCATAAGAACAGACCCAGAGATCAACAGAAAGGAATAGAGAGCCCAGATACAGACTCATGCATGTATGGTTTATTCATATATGATAAAGGAGCCATGACTATACAATGGGGAAAAGACAGCCTCTTTAACAACTGGTATTGGCAAAACTGGACAGCGACATGTAAGAGAATGAAGCTGGACTATTTTCTAACTTCATACACAAAAGTAAACTCAAAATGGATCAAAGATCTGAATGTAAGTCATGAAACTATAAAACTCTTAGAAGAAAACATAGGCAAAAATATAAGGATGAGAAATTTTTTCCTGGACACAACTCCTTGGGCAAGGGAAACAAAATAAAAATAAACAAGTGGGACTACATCAAACTAAAAATCCTCTGTACAAAAAAGGACACCATCAGCAGAACAAAAAGGCATTCTCTCTACAGTATGGGAGAATATATTTATAAATGATCTATCTGATAAGGGGTTAACATCCAAAATTTCTAAAGAACTCATATGAGTCGATACTAAAAAAAAAAAAAGTAACCCAATTAAAAAAGGGTAGAGGACCTGAGCAGACACTTCTCCAAAGATGAAATACTAATGGCCAATAAGCATATGAAAAGATGCTGCACATCATTAACCATCAGGGAAATGCAAGTTAAAATCACAGTGAAATATCATTTCACATCACTTAGAATGACCACTATCCAAAAAACAAGAAACAACAAATGCTGGCCACGATGTGGAGAAATAGGAACCCTCCTACACTGGTGGGAATGCAAATTGGTGCAACAGCTATGGAAAACAGTATGGAAGTTCCTCAAAAACTAAAAATAGAAATACCATTTGACTCAGTAATTGCACTCCTAGGAATTTACAAAATCCCTGATTCAAAAAGATATATGCATCCCTATGTTCATTGCCACACTATTTGCAATAGCCAAGATATAGAAGCAACCTAAATGTCCATCAAAGATGAATGGATATACACAATGGAATATTTTTCAGCCATAGAAAGAAGAGAAATCCTGCCATTTGGAACAACATGTATGGATCTAGATGGTATTATGCTTGGTAAAATAAGCCAGGTGGAGAAAGACAAATACCATGGTTTCACTTATTTGTGGAATATAAAAACAAAGCAAAACAGAAGGAACAAAACAGCAGTAGACTCAGACACTGAGAAGTGATTAGTGGTTATCAAGGGATAAGGGTTGGGGTGTGGAGAAGTAGGGGATAAAGGGGCACAATAATTCGCAATCACAATATGAGTTGATCATGAGGACTATCGAACCACTGTGATCTACATTTGAAACCAACATAAGATTGTATATTAATGATATTTTAATAAAAATAAATAATGAAAAATTGTAGAAATAAATTTAAGCTGGGGAGACATTGCGTTCTTTCAGACAGAGTTTACATTTGTTTCTGTCTGATAGCTAGGTTCACTAGCTGTGCCAGATAATACTAAACTCATTTTAGGAACTGAATTGATATTAGCACAGGTCTGTTTTCAGTTCACCTCTTCCATGTAACAGCCTTTCAAACCAAACCAGAGGACAGTGATTAACCAGGACTCCCTCTCATTTTCTCCTAAACTAGTAACACTGTCCTAAATGGTTCCTGACTTCTGCCTCTTACTGGCTGCATGCAGAGTTCATAGATCCCTAGAGGGACAGCTGCCCCCAATACTGGGCTTGTTTCTCTGAGCTTTTCTTTTTACCCAAGTCCTAAACCCTTCATTTTTCTCTACCTTTTTAATCTCTCTGATGCCTTGAAGAATTTTCTTTTTTAGTTTTCTCCATCTTTTCTAATATGTCACATTTGGAAGCTTAGATTAATTCCTTCAACTATCATGAGGAAGTAAAAATTCTAAGGCCCATTTTTGTTATCTTCACAACTGTTTTTTAAAAATCACCATTTTTATTGGATATATCTCCTAGTATCATATGGTGTAATTTTCCTGCCTTCAAATATTATCATATTATTTCTATTTAAAAACAATTTCATACTCACTAGGATTAAAATTTCTTGCTTCAAGCCTTCATTAAATCACTTGTGGTGTGTAAGTTCCACAAGAGCATGGCATTTTGCTCAATGATGTTTAATCAGAACCTTGAATGGTGCCTTGCACGTACTAGGTTCTTGATACTTTTGCAAGTAAACGAATGAAAGGAATGGAGCCAAGTCTTTAGCATTCAAGTGGAGGATCATGATTTCTTTGTTCATTTGCTACAGGATTGTTGATTATCGCCATTCCAAATAAATAGTTGGAGGTAGCTTGAAGACACTATGTAAGGAATATTTACTTGACATGTTATACAGAGAAGGATTTTGTGATCTATTTTGTTTGGACCGCTGGATGTTCTTTTCAGTGTGTGATTCAAGAACCTCCTGTATGATGAAAATTTACATAGGCAATATATCAGTGAAAGGTGAACCTGTACATGGCAAGACTATATCTATTTTACAAACATTTAGCTCAAGTCTAAACATATGTGTCTAGTTATAATATGGTTCTTGTATTTATTATCTATCCTTTCTTGCTAAGATTTTGATGACTTTCTTAGCTAGGAGTGATTTAATGTCCCAAGCCTGGCTAAGTCTGTGTCTTCTGTCATTGCTTTGATCTGTGCTTTTGACTCATATTTGAGCCTGAACATTTGTCTTGACCCACATTGCTTAATTCCAGTAGCCAGGCACATGGTTGATAAAACTAAAGTACAAAATTCTTTTATTTGTCTAAGATTGCTTCAAGGTTATAAGCCTTGCCAATACAGAGCTCAATTTTTAAATTTAAAACTCCATGGCCATTCCTATGTGCAATACAGGGACTGCTGAAAATTCATACAGCTCTGAATGCAAGGGCTCAGCTTGAGAGGGAGGGTCTGATAATCCTTCATAGATTCAGTCAGAACATTCATGTTGAATGCTGAACTTCTCAATAAAGTAGGGCTGACAAAAAAAGACTTTGGAGGTATAAGTGATACTATCAGTCATTTTTATTAAGTGTTTTGGATGAGAAAATATTACATCCACTCATTAAAGCCCTTTCTTTCATGGCTGTTTTTGTTATACCAGTACAATGTATTCCCTCCAGTTACATTGTCTTGGGTCTAAGATTGGGTTAGCTCGTTAGATGAGGAATTTTCCTAGTCACTATTTCATTCCCACTTTGAATTATCTGGCACAGGAAATGTAAGCTGAGACTTGGGCTCACTGTATATGATTACATATTTTTGTCCCAACTTAGACCCTAAGCACATAGTTGCGATTGTCATGGCACAGCTATGGCATCAGTAGCTGGGCTCTGAGGCCAGCAATTCTACTTGTTATGAGCAAATAGATCATGGGATATTTTCATTGTTGTAGAGAGTATCAACCTATGTACTAAATAAATAAATACCAGTCGTCTAGTTGTCTCACAGGCAGGATAAACACCAGTGTGAAAAACCTGCTAGGAGAAGGTATAGAAGCAACTAGATATTCCTAAGAGCATCACTGATATTTAATGTGGCCTTTATTTGCTCCCCCTGGTCAAAGGAGGGCTCTGATGTATCACAGTAGTCTGGATGTCTCACCTCTTAATGTTCACGTCTCTTGATTTTTGAGCAGAAAATAAGTTTCTCTGTCCATTCATGACACCTAACCTTTGGCCAAGGCCTCTGTGCACATATAGTATAGGAGGAGCAGTGGTGGGACTACAGTAGGAGACACTGGGCCAGAGTCCAGGCCAGAGGCCCAGAAGACTGGGAACAAACAAATCTTGCATCTGCTTATGTAAGTTTTAGGAGCAAGTTCCCTAACTTCCCCAAGCTCCGGTTTTCTCATTGATAAATGGATATAATAATAGTACCTAATTCTTGGAGTTGTTGAGAGGATTAAATGAAATCATCTATATTAAGCTCTTAGCATAGTGAGTGGCCCATAGTGAACACTCAATATATAGTAGTATTATTTTTATAGAAAAATTCTTTCTCTTTATAAATTTATTTAAAGAATTTAAAGTTGTTGTGTTAACTAAGAGCCTGCTTAATTTGGGCTTAAGTTTTTTAGATGGAAATCTTTGCTGAGGTCAGAGAGCATGGTATAGTGCTACTTTTTGTCCATCCCATGAATACAATTTCTGTGCTCTGCTGTAATAGACTGACCGTATTGTCTGCCTACTCTGCCTGCCTGGGATATGTGAACTATGCCAAGCCTCCCTTACCTATGAATACTTCCTCACACTGCTCCCCTGCATTTCTCTCCCACAACATATTTGAGGCGGTTATCACAATACTCATGGACATTTTCCTCTTTCTTTTCTTTCAGTAAGAATTCTTAATTGTGCAGACTCAGGATTGAGAGTGTCCAAGATGCCTAAACACACACACACACACACACACACACACACACACACACCTCTCTCATTCATCCATTTATGCTCATATAATAGGGTTTTGTATAAGACTCAATTCATGGAGTCTTTTCCGAAACATTAAGGATCTAAGCATTTCTTAAAAATGTAAGATCAGCCAAAAGATTTTTTGAAGGTTCAGATAGGACTGTTTTATTTTTATAAAAATTTGTGGAGACTAAAGGAAACATTATATGGGGTTTTCTTTCATCTACTAGATTATTCAATCCTGACACCTCTTTTCCCCATTGGATCTCTGTGAGAGTCACATGCTTTGGGCATCTTTGAAAAGACTCTTCTGAGGCTTCAGCATCTCATTTGGGTCTTCTGAATCTCACCCAGAACTGTGTTGAATTCTCATCTATCACAATGAGCAACAGATTCCTGGGCACCTGGAAACTTGTCTCCAGTGAGCACTTTGATGATTATATGAAAGCTCTGGGTAAGAAACACTCTTTGTTGTGGGTGAGAAGATCCCTTAAGAAAGCTGCATGCCTATTTCCTTCTAACTCCTTTTCTAGGAATCTGGGGAGGTTTGCACAGGCTGAAGTACAATCCTCTTCTGGAATTTTAATCTTCTATTGTGTCATTCAGGTTATTTTTTTTTGCATTTTTGTTTGTGGTAATTTTAATAGGTTTTAACCTAAATGAGAGATGCTTAAATGCATGGAACTCCCACTGATTCCAAAAACAGTTTCATATGAACAGGGCTTTGGTTTCAGACCTGGAGGAAAGAAATCTTGGAAACTTAGTCAACCCATTCTCTGGCTTTCCTGAAAGTTTGCTTTGTAACAACTGAAGTGCTCATAAAATAAGCAGTTGAGTGTATTAAAGTTAATATAAAGCATCGATTTATATTGTTTAGCTAAACCAGAGCTTTCTCTCTATGGCTCTAGGTTGTCTGTTATTAAACAATCATGTAGATAGAGAGTTTGTAAAAAGTAAATGCTTCATAAGACAGGATGTTCACAGCTTAGGGAATTCACTGAGAGAAGAAAAATTGAATTGTTGGAGTGAATTCAAACTCAGTTACCCTCTTATCAGGCTTTCTTGCAGTTAGAGCAATGGATGGAGATGGGAAGTCCAGTCATGAGTTACATCAACTTAATTTGATACTATTTCTAGACAATGTTCCATAGATATGCACATGATAGATGTGAAGAGTTTAGAAATTTCCAGAGAGGTATAAATATAATAGAAAGTGATTATTGACCAATGACCCAGATTGTTATTCTTGTTGAAATGCCTGTAGCTTCACTTACCTGTTCAAAAAGCTTATGAGAAAGGTTCTGTTTTTAGGTAAAATAAGCAAAATTGTGTCATAGATCATTGCCTGGAAAACTATGAGAATTTATGGGGATAGATCTGCACTATGGACTGGTTAGATTTATGGACTTTACAATTGAAGAAGAAGCAAAATACAAGAAAGTCTCAGTGAAGGACTCGCTGTCATTTTCAAATGTTAGAGTGCGTAAGTATACCTAGCAGTTTGGTAAAAATGTAGATTATCAGGCTCTACCACAGAGATTATAATTTAGTTTGAAAAATATTATCCTAAACCATATAAAACAACAAAAGATTACTCAGAATTAGAAGAAAAGATACAGTTCACAGTTCTTTATTAGCTGTAACTGTTCATTTGTTTAGCATATATGTAACATACAAATATAATAATATATATTGTTTATGTACATGTAAACCAGGTTTTCTTTCATGTATTTCTCTCATTTGACATTTCTCCTTTCCATATATTTCTATAATATTGGATAGTAATAGTAATAAACCCTGAGTTTAATTTTATTTTATTTTTCAAATGAAGAAAATTAAAAAAAAATCATTTTACTTATCTATGATCATTTGGATTGATACTGATTGAAGGGAGGTGGACAGTTTTTCCCACCAGCTAGACTTAAGAGCCACAACCAGATCTCAGAAATGAGATTCTTTCAAGGATGTCAGGGGTAGTTCTTTTCCTACCTTAATACATTGAGGGAAAAAAATCATAGATTACTGTGTATGTGTCCTACTCTCATTTAAAAAATATATCTATAATATATATATGTACAAACTAAAATGTTATAATGATCTATATAAAATATTAATTAGTGATTTTTAATGGAGTATAGGATTGGATGTGGTAAAAGTAGATGACTCACACTGTTTAGGCTGAACAGTTTTATCTTTAAAATCTGCAGATATTACCTTTGTAATAACAAAACCTGAAATATTCAAGTTCATGGACATGTTTCCCATTAGGTGGTGAGACATGGGCAGAAGTCCTCAGCAGACAGGGGCACACCTGCCACCCCACACACCTGGAGCACCGCTGAGAGTCAGCTCTGGCTGCCCGCCGTCCCTCCCGGTATGCTCTCTGGGTCAGCACAGTTCTAACACTATCTTGATTTACAGGTGTGGGGTTAGCCACCAGGAAACTGGGAAATTTGGCCAAACCCACTGTGATCATCAGCAAGAAGGGAGATATTATAACTATAAGAACTGAAAGTACCTTTAAGAATACAGAGATCTCCTTCAAGCTGGGCCAGGAGTTTGAAGAAACCACCGCTGACAACAGGAAAGCAAAGGTAAACTTTCATATTTCTCTTCAAAGTTGTCTTGTGTATGGCTTGAGAGAAGATTACTCCTGCTACTCTTCAAAAGGGTAGACTACTCAATTCTATGAGAAATAAATGTGCCTCATAAGATATCTATTATGAAAAAGATTTAACACTGAATGAATTGCCTCTTTAGTCAACCAAAGCCCAAGCGTGCCAATGAGGTGAACTTGTCTTTGCAGAGCCTTGTGACCTTGGCAAGAGGCTCCTTGAATCAAGTGCAGAAATGGGATGGCAAAGAGACAACAATAAAGAGAAAGTTGGTGGATGGGAAAATGATAGTGGTAAGATTATTTTCACTTCTAACGCTGTCTAAATAGAGATTTGATTATATTATTTTCAAAAGAAATTTTTCCTTTGCAATCCAAATGGATAAGAATGACTAAGAATAAAGAGTTAATGCTTGGGTAGTATTTAAAACATAAAGACTCATCTACAAGTACTTTACACATAGGTCCAAGACTTTAACAATCTGTTATTTCAGAAATGACAACACCTGAAAATGAGAGTACAGTTCAAAGAAAGTAAAGATAAATCTCACTAGTTTGGACTCAGAAAGAGAAAAGCAAGTCTTAAGTTTTAAAAGCAAAACAAACACCAAAAGGCACAGCTGTAGAATATTTGTAGATATCTAAGCATTTTTGCTTTAAGAATCTGTAGTATCTTGGACCAAACTATGTCAATAATTTAAGATCAGCTCACGGGATCCTTTTTTAGTCAGCAAATAAGAATTATGACCGATGTTACATGAGATGACTTAAATTTTTTTTAAGTTTTAGGTTCTGTGCTTAATAATTAACACATACATTGGATGTAAATAAATTGATTTGATATTTTAATGTTTCTTTCTTTAGTACAGATATTCTTATCCTTAGTTACACAATAGATTTACATAGGGAGTAAATACCAACATGGGGCCTCCAACACAGATCAATCAAATGCATAGCTCTTGGGGCAAGAAGGAGCTATTAGTATTTTTAAATATTCCTCAGATAATACAGATGTATAGACAGTGTTTTGAAAATTATTGTTTTAGTAGACTTAAATACATTCAAATTATGCATAAAGAACTGCCACTTTAAAAACATTCTTCTGCTATAACAGATTGACTGCAAAACTATTTTTCCTACTTCAATGGTCCTAATTCTGAATTATTGGAGACTGATATTATCCCTTTCTAAGTTTAATCTTATGAGTTTTTTAAAATTTGTTTTTATTACAAATTTGCTATTATCTAGTTTGAGTTTTAGATATTTAATTGATCTCTCTTTTTCTTAAGGAATGTAAACTGAAGGGAGTGGTCTGCACCAGAATTTATGAGAAGGTCTAAGAAAACTGTTTCTTCATTGAAGTGATATTTCATCATTTGATATTGGAAATCAACTGTTTCAACTGGCAAGGCCAGACTACACTGCAGATTTTTTTTTTTTTGCTTTTATTTAAATGGATCAGATAGGCAAAGGCCTAAACTGAGGAGTAATCTAAAATTCAGTGTTGTTTAAACATTTTCAGTTTGCATGCATGTCCTTACCATATTAAAATATGTATATTAGCCAGAGCTAAATACTGATAATGTCATTTAATTATCTGCAAAATTCTAATGTATATTGTGCTTTGTATATTGAAATTATAGTGAAAGGAAGTAAATATATCCATCAGTGGTTGCAAACTCAAATGCCTTCAGAGGCCAGGAGAGTAATATGGGAGGAAGATTAGAAGTGAGCTCATCTAGAAAGAGCTGTTTTAAATTAAGGAGTTCTAGTTCTGGCTACAATGGCAGGCTCTACCCCACACCATTTTTTAAAACTAAGGAGTAATTTATAGACAGTGAAATGCACAGCTATTAAGGGTAGAGTTCAATCCATTGCAACAAACACATGCACCCATACAACCTACATCCTGACCAAGATAGAGTACATTTCCTAAGGAAAGTTTTCTCACATCCCTTTTTGGTCAGTGTCCTGCCCTGTCCCACCTCCACCAAAAGCAATCGTGATTTGGTTTCTATCATTTGGTTTTTACATTATCCTTCTCTTTAATGTTTGGATTTTTATATAAAGAATATCTATTGTTTTTAATCCAGAAAAGTATACGTTTTGTAAATGAAGAAGCAGAGTCAGGAAACTTTTAAAAAATCTTGAAACAAGGAAAACAACTGCTTCTGTTCTATGCGGCCTAAACCACCACTTTGCATACACAGACATACTGTACTCATTTGCAACCACAGTGCTCCTACTTTTTTGTGTTCTGCTTCTTGTAACTTAATATTCTAATAAAGATTCTTCCACATTTAAACATGTGATATGCCATAGTTTATTATGGTTCTATAATATAACTGTTTTATTTTTAAGTTATGTCCAGTTTGGAGTTATTACAGACTATCTTGCAAAAATGACCTTCATGTATTTTCATGTATATATATTTGACTGTGCTGAATACCTTTTTAAAGAGAAGAATTAGTGAGTCAAGGAATATGGAAAACCTGGTGGTGTCTTACTGAATATTTCTGTATTGCTTTTCTAAGAGTCATTACTGATTGGTCACAATGCAACCAGCAGCATATGAGTCATTATACTAGCAATAACAGCTGTTGAACATTATGTGTGTACTACATGCAAGCTCATTCACTCTCTATCACATGATTCACATGTTATGCTGCCATATTTAATAACATTTTTACACACACAACAACCCTATCTGGTAGAAAATATTATCATCCCCATTTGATAAAAGTGGAAACAAGTGTAGAGTGAGATGCAAAGTCATAAAGTGGTAGAACCAGGATTTGTCTCTGTTTGAAGAGAGGTCATCTGCTAAACCCTTACTCTATTTTGCCTCCTTTGCCACACTTGTCTATTAGATACATGGTTGTTTCTTGTAATATCCTGAAGAGAATGCTCTTAGGGGTTACTTTAGCATGTCATCAAACTTCATATAAATGTAATCATTGCATTATATGTCCTCATCTGTTTTTCTTTTTAAACAAGGCATAATATTTTTGAAATTATCCATATTGTCACATACAGCAGTAGTTTGTTCCTTTTTATTGCTACATAGTATTCCATTGTGTTACTATATCACAGTTAGTTTATCCATTTTTCTCTTAAGACAGTTGGGCTATTTTCAGATTTGGGCTATGATGAATAAAGCCACTATAAACCTTCTTGCACCAGCCTGTTTGTGGACATATGAATGTATTTCTAAGGCATAGAATAACTAGGCATGGGATTATTGGATACAGTTGGCTTTGGACAGGCAGGAATAGGGGACTACTGTGCCCAAGTAACAGTAATACTGCTTCAGAGGTGCTGCATGATTAAGCAAATGAGAAAATATGTTAAGGTTGTTAGGAGCCAATATTTCACTGTGGAGGAAAGAATATGGAATGAGGGAAGGCAAGAAAGAACCATGTGATAATGGATTGGAATAGATATAAATTCATTGTTTCTAAGGCACATGTGTAAATGTATATATAATTTCACATGGATATCTTCATGTATTTATGTGTATGTATATGTGTATACACATTCATATATTTCCTAGTTTTGTCTAAATAGCTTAGAAGAAAAGACACCTCAGTGGAAATGAGCATACCTACTGCCCTGGTGTCTAATATCATTCCCTACTAAAAGTAATGATGGTTTCTTTCAGAAACAACTGATTCCAATTTGAGGACAGGGCAGGTACTAGATGACCCTGAAATATCTTGGTATGCCAGAAAGTAAGCAAGTATTATGAAAAAATGATGCAGGAATGTCAACAAAATATGAGAACCAGCTTGAAGGTGTTCCCATTGGCCAAAACAAAATAATTGAGAAGAATCATAAATTATAAAACATTGGGGAAAAATAAGAATCCATGGATCCATAATACTAATAGGGATAGAAAGAGATAAAATATGAAAGCAAGAGAGAAAGAAAGGGAAAGAAGAGTTTTCCTTAGAGTGGAATGCCATGGGCTGACTGGTAGATGTGAAGGGCGTGCTAGAATTGGAGAGTCATCATTTTTTGAACTATACTGGCTTAGGCAAGAATTACACTAAAGCTGGAGGGAAATTTTAATTAGGAGCAAGGGATTAGTTTCTTCTTAAAGTATCTCCTCACAGATTGCTTATTAGTTATAAGGCGAAAAATGTAGTAACTATGGAGTGGAAAAATTGGACAACCCCTTGACTGGGTAATCAACATTAACCTGGCCAGTGAAAGGCAATGCACACTTGCCTTCAAATGTGATACCCTGAGAAGTAAGCAACATCATTTGTGTAGTGTTCCAGCCTGGAATCTATATGTGGGCTAATCATGAGGAAATACCAGACAAATTTCAAATGAAGAATGTTCTATTACAAAAGAAGAAGAGAGTGTTGACTATCTTTGAAAATATCAGTGTCACAGAAGACAAAAAAGACTTTGCAGAAATGTTCCAGATTAAATGTTCCTAAAAATACATGACAACTAAATGAGTGATTCTGGACTGGATTCTGTGCTAGAAGTAAAATAAAAGTTTCAAAGGACAATATTAGGTCAATTGGCAAATTAAAATATAGATGGTAAATTAGATTGGAAGTGTACTATAATTATATTAAGACAACATCCTTATTCTTGTGAAAAAAGACACTGAAGTATTTGGGGGTAATGTATCATATGTATGCAATTTATTCTCAAAAACTTCAGAAAAAAGTATTTTGTGTGTGTGTTTGTGTGTGCACATTTTATGCACATACATAAAGAAAGCAAACAATTGCTAAAGCAAATGGAGGGTTGTGGGGAGGCACTGGCATTAGAGCTCTGTAGTATTAAAAAATAGTCTTAGAGTATAATTCTGATTCTCTATGTTTTTATATAACAAAAAGTTCCTTTTGACATATGTTGGCTAAGAACCTCATACTTGATAGTCTAAATTCCAATTAGCTACTTACTAGCTCTGTGTCATTGGGCAAATTACTTAAACCCTTTGCCCCTCACTTCCTTCATTGGTAAAAACAGAAATGATAACATGCCTCAAAGAGTTGTGAAGAATAAATAAGTTAATACATGTAATGTGCCTGGCACATTATAAAGTGTATTGTTATTATTATGTGTCTAATAACATATGCGATATTCTAATCATTTTATTATACCTCAAAATGAAGAAAACTTCACAAGATCTCAGAGCTGATGATGTTGATTTGTACACTAAGTAACTAAACTTATTAAGAATATTATTTACACAAGGATGAAAACAATTAAGAAACCTATTAAGATGAATCCACAGGAAAGCCAACAAACATTGCTGTATGACTCTGCTAATCTAAGAAACTTTTAAAAATGGCAATCGATGATTACATAATTTTAAGGAGACTCATACTATAAAAAATAGATGAGGATGAGGGAAGTTTGGAGGCGAGTAATGGGACAGTTGCAATTTTAAAGTGGTCAGAGTTAGGCATCATTGAAAAAATGACGCTTGAGTCAATATTTGGAGGAGACGTGAAGAGCTCGAGGCATTTTAACAAACCTTCTTTCTCTTTGCATTTTCTCCAGCTTTGATTTCCAACTTAGTAAAGTAGGGAAGTGTGGGTCAGTGGTAGTGCAATAGGCTTTACATTATATACAAGTACACACGTATACACTGCTTTAACCTAATAAGGCCTAAATATAGACATTTAAATCCCAAAGGAAAAGCAACTTAGTTGATGTCAATCAAATGGTGATTGCCACACCCGGTGTAGTTCTCTTAGAAGCCACGTGTACTGGAGCTAGCTCAAATTGTTTCATATGAGCTGATTGTTAGATTTTCAGGAATTTGACAAGCTGGTTTTTAAACATTTGGTAGGCTGAAATCAGCCATGACAGGAGTATTACACCAGGAAAACAGGCAAAACACAACCAATTAGGGCTTCATTTCTTGAGAAGATAGTTTTAAGTATTTACTAGCATGCCACTGCCTGGAAGTAGCATAGTACTTGGATTTTATTAATGAGTGTCTTAGTTTCATGTTGACCATATATTTCTAATTTCTGACTAAAGGTTTACTTTGTACTTTCTTAAAGTCACTTCAGTTAACTTCTAGCATGATTTTTTTCTAAACCAGGAGGTACTTCTCTAAATGTGGTGACACATTAGAATTATGTACAAGTTTTAAAATATCCCAATACCGAGACAGGACCACATACCCACTGAGTCATAATGTATGGATGATGGGTGAGTCCTAGACATCAGTGTTTTTCTTAAAGCACTGCAGGTGATTCCAATGTGTAGCCAGTTTGAGAACCACTGTCCCAGTCTCCCAAAGTTAGAAATTTAATGTAGGCTATTATCATGTTGCTAACAGTTAAAGTGAAGTGAAAGATTATTAAAGTCAGGAGTACCAAATGTCCCCAATGTGACATTAACCAATTCGTCTTCATTTAAGAAAATTCTAACATTATAACCAATCACTGTAAACAATGAACAGTCACACTATCTGAGGCTCTTTATAACAATGTACCTCTGAACCCCATTCCCTATGTTGGTTTCAGTGCTCCTGGTTTATAAACTGTCTTTTTGGTGTATGCACAATAAACTTACTAATTACTACTTCAGTGATTCATTGGTTTTATTTCCATTTGCTTCTGAACTTTTGAGACTATGCTGTACTACATCTTAAGATGCTTTGTGTCCAACAAAGCTTCCAGAAAAGTGCTAGATTGAACCAACATTAATTAAACACCTGACTGGTATGGGAAGGTGCAGGGCATCCATTGCATATTTCATGTGTGGGAGAGGCGGTGGGAGTGTAAGAGCAAGAATCTCCCAAGTGTAGTCAGAAAAAGTCAGTTTGAACCCTGGCCTTGCACTTGCAATTTCCTAGTTTGTCCAGTGGGGTTAGTAATGGCTACCTCACACAGTTGCTGTGGGGTATGATGCATGCACAAGTACTTTGTGAAGTGTATATGTAGTATTATTAATACATAAAATATTGTTAAGTCACACATAAATATGAATCCTTATATTCAGCATATAGGGTTTTCTTGGGAGGCTTTTTTTGTATCAGTGTTCCAAATAATGACTGTATATAGAACTTTATTTATCAGGCTCTTGAATGACAGTTGTAAAAAAATTGAATGAATAAAGTGAAATATATTACAGTCTTGGTTTATTCCACTAATAAAGGCAAACAGATCAGATGCTATTAAACATAGTATTGTTTAAAATCTGAAGTCATGGGCTTGGGGCCTGGTTCTATAGCCCAGAACCTGGATGACCTTGTGTAACTCATTTATCATTGCATGGCCTCAGTTTCCAATTTTTAAAGGGAAGGCTGATCTGAATGATCTCTAAGATCCCAATTATTTCTAAATTTTATATCATTGTACCTAATGTTTATATTGTACCAATATAGTGGTATATACAATGTACCAATGTACCTATTTATATTAACATAGCCTTATTATGTTCATGAACTTTTCTATTTTACTAGCTGCCTACTTCCTAAACTTCTAGAAGTTCCATGTAGACAGAGATAAGCATTTTATATTTTTTCCTTCCCCACCCCACCCTTTTTCCATTACAATAGATTCCTTATAATTCTTCAAGAGACTCAGTCCCCTGCTGACTTCTCTGACCTGTTCCCAGTGAGGATAATGTAATAACTCCCTGCACCGTGTCACCACTGCAACGTAACAATGTATTAATATCTCTGATTCTGGACTGAGAATGCAACTGAAAACATTTTAAATTTAAAAATTAAGAAAAAATCAGAAATCAAAATATAGTTGATATACAATGTTACATTGGTTTCAGAAGTACAACATAGTGATTTGGCAATTCTATACACTGGTAAATGCTCACCATGAAAAGGCAAAGGTCAACATACAGTGAAATTGTAATACTCTTGGCTATTCTTTATATTGTACTTCCATCAACACAACAAAAATTAAAATTTTTTAATTTAAAATATTTC